TCCCCCCGGACACCCCAGAGCCCCCCCCGCGCCCCGTCGCAGCGCAGCCCCCCCGCAGGTGGTCAAGGCCTACGACCACCGCGAGCAGGAGTGGGTGGCCATCAAGATCATCAAGAACCGCAAGGCCTTCGTGAGCCAGGCGCACATCGAGCTGCGCCTGCTGGAGCTCATGAACCAGCACGACACCGAGATGAAGTACTACATCGGTGAGGGGCGCCCCGCGGCGCCGCGACCCACGGCGGGAGGGCAGCGGGGCCCGCCCCGGGGCACGTCTGTGGGGTGGGAGAAGGTCACATCCCACCTCAGGACATGTTTGTGGGGTGAGAGAAGGTCAGCTTCCGCCCCAGGACATATTCATGGGGCAGGAGAAGCTCAGATCCCACCTCAGGACATATTCATGGGGCAGGAGAAGGTCAGATCCCACCCCAAGACACCTATATGGGGCAGGAGAAGGCCACATCCAGCCCCAAGACACATCCATGGGGCAGGAGAAAATCAGATCCCACACCAGAGCACATCCATGGGGCAGAAGAAGGTTGCCTCCAGCCCCAGGACACATCTGTGGGGCAGGAGAAAGTCAGATCCCACCCCAGGACACATTCATGGGGCAGGAGAAGATTACGTCCAGCCCCAGGACATATCCATGGGGCAGGAGAAGGTCAGATCCAGCCCTAGGACACATCTGTGAGGCAGGAGAAGGTCACATCCAGCCCCAGGGCACATCCGTGGGGCAGGAGATGGTCAGATCCCACCTCAGGACACATCTGTGGGGCAGGAGAAGGTCAGATCCAGCCCCAGGACCCATCCGTGGGGCAGCAGAAGGTCAGATCCCACCTCAGGACCCATCTGTGGGGCAGGAGAAGGTCAGATTGAGCCCCAAAATGCATCCGTGGGGTGGGAGATGGTCACATCCCACCCCAGAACCCATCCATGGGGCAGGAGAAGGTCAGATCCCACCCCAGAACCCATCCATGGGGCAGGTGAACCCCGTCCCCCCCCGCCCCACTGAGCACCCCCGTGTCCCCCCCGCTCCCCAGTGCACCTCAAGCGCCACTTCGTGTTCCGCAACCACCTGTGCCTGGCCTTCGAGCTGCTCTCCTACAACCTGTACGACCTGCTGCGCAACACCAACTTCCGCGGCGTCTCGCTCAACCTCACGCGCAAGTTCGCGCAGCAGCTCTGCACCGCGCTGCTCTTCCTGGCCACCCCCGAGCTCAGCATCATCCACTGCGACCTCAAGCCCGAGAACATCCTGCTCTGCAACCCCAAGCGCAGCGCCATCAAGATCGTCGACTTCGGCAGCTCCTGCCAGCTGGGCCAGCGGGTGAGCCGCGGGACACGCCCCCTGGGCCGCGGGACACGCCCCCGGGGCGCTGGCCCCGCCCCCGAGGCGGTGGCACCGCCCACTGCAGCCCTAAGACCCACCCACGCGAAGCAGAGCTTCCCCACAGGCTCCTTGGCCCCGTTTCCGGGATGAGGATGGCTAAGCCCCGCCCCCAATAAGGCTAAGCTCCACCCCCTAGGTGTAAGGACACGCCCCCGGGGTGCTGGCCCCGCCCCCGGGGCCCTGGCCCCACCCACTGGGCCCCAAAGACCCGCCCATGCAATGCGGAGCCTCCCCACAGGCACCTTGGCCCTGTTTCTGGGATGAGGAAGGCTAAGCCCCGCCCCCAACAGGGCTAAGCTCCACCCCCTAGGTGTAAGGACACGCCCCCGAGGTGGTGGCCCCACCCACTGCAGCCCTAAGACCCGCCCACACAAAACAGAGCCTCCCCACAGGCCCCTTGGACCCCTTTCTGGGATGAGGAGGGTTAAGCCCCGCCCCCAACAGGGCTAAGCCCCGCCCCTGCGGACCTGATCCCCATCCGGGCTGGTTTTACCCAGGTTAGGGGCTAAGAAATGCTAAGCCCCGCCCCCTGCCACAGT